CCAGGGCATTTGGGGGCTTAAGGCGGATGTCGCTTCCAGGATATGTCCAACAACTCATCAGTGAGTGCATGGAGGAAAACGTTTCAAGTGATGTAAATGATATTTTCAACTAGACTTGATATATCTCTCACATGCTATTGGTAAGCAACATAGTAATTAAAACACAAAAGTGTCTGTAACATTGTTAAGCTTTTCGTTATCTAACTCAAAAACCCTCACTGACCAGTATTCTTCTGACACTTCACCCTACTCGACTAGTACAATTATATTCCAAATAAACGATGCTGGATGAAAGTGAGTCACAATAAAATTAATACTCGAGAAGACTCTACAATATTCTTCAATTATTACATAACGTTGGTTGGCTAAGATCAGGTCAGTCAACGTGTTCCAGCATAATCCTGAATGAGACAAACATGCTTTGGTCTACTCTACGTCCTGCTAACAGACACATTCCATGTGATTAATCTGTTCAGCTGACAAAAATCACCACTCATTTAGGGATTTGGCTAATTCAAAATCATTCAAATTATAATAGAGTTTTGATCGCTTATACACTTTTAACAAGACCATTCACCAAAGTCTTATACTTCCGTGTTTCCACAACATTTTACTTGGTTTTCGGTGGGTAGTTAAAATGAGATCTATCATCAGAATAGTTGTGCATAGTACAATTCGACTGAGTGGCTAATTATTGGTTGCATTGTTTTGGCCTCATTAACATCAATGAAGAATTCATACTTAATCATGGTGTTCTTAGCATTTCAGATCCAGTAGTTCTTTGAATGGAACGTCGGTGTTTGAAGCATATATCGTCAGAGTGGGACCTCAATATGAAAGCTGACATTGGAATGCAGATACAGTTAGCTGGTTTATCTCCTAGTTGAAAGTCATTAAACATATCATAAAACTAAGTGTCACTAATCCCAGCAATTCAGTGGGGAACAAATTCACTTGTCTTACTTAGATACTAGTACATATCTGAGCACTACATGTAGTATCCTCTGTATATTTATGACCTGCATAATTGTGTCAATGTAATTTCAGTCCAAGTGCACAATCATACAATGCAAACATATAGAAACGAATACATATAATGAAAGCATTGACATCCAGCACTTCACAACGTTATGGTAGAGATTTTCGGAGCATCTTAATTGTTTCAATGACACTATTCGTGAACTATTTTGGTAATAGAATATTAAAAGACTGTTTGTTTTTCAATGAATCAGTTGTTTGTAAATTACTAGTATCTGTTTGAAATGTACGTTATGATCTACGAAACCGCAGTCATGTACACAATTCTATATCTGATCAGTGATTATGTAAACTTTCAAGTTGTCAAGGAGATTAGTTGTACCTGAATAAATTCAACAGATCATATAATGCACGCAAACACACACACAAACACACAAATACACGGTTCCATCTAACACATTTCGGATTGCTCGGAGATTATGAAATCAAAACCATCACTGCCAAATTGATACACTGAGCATTCGGTAATTTCACTACAAATCAGGACGAACAGTTAATTTGCCATTGAAAGAACATACTACTTTTTAATAATCAAAGTAGCACTTTTCACTTTGAATAACATATCCTTTGACTAATGACAAATATCACTACAATGTATGATGACAAATTGAGTCGATTCGGTTTCATTCAAGTTGATTAAGAGGAAAGTACTGGATAATCAAGGAACGTTACGAGTAAGTAGCTAGTAATATTCAGCGAAACAAGGTTTTCAAAAGTACTTTCGGTCTCAAGAATTTAAAAAACACTTGGAAACTATCTTTACCAGTTAAGATACGTAGACTAAACCACAAATAACTGAGAACAGTAACTCGATAGCAACATTCATCACTAGGAAAATAAGTGGGATAGATTTCAAGTGAACGTGGAAAACATGGGTTCTCGCAAGCGCAAAGAGAATACATGAATAATGGCTTAGAGTAGAGTCCTGGAGATGCATTTATATTTCTTTGAGATTAGTCAGATGGATGTACAGAGATCCAACAACCGACGTTCATTTTGGAGTTTTGACTCAGAACCTTTAACTTTAAACGTCAATCCATTATCCAATTATCTTCTGAGTTCAGATATCCATTCACTTGAATTTTAAGTTATTCTTGTAATGGTTTGGATTATCTCCCTCCTTCTTAAGAGATATTCATCTTGTTGAAATGTGACAAACAGTTCATAACATTCAAGAGGAAAGTGAAACCCTTTGTCTTCACTAGACATATCAATGGACCATTATTTAAATGTGACCACTTTGTTCCTAACCGAATCTATCAAATGGTATTTGAACTAGATTTCTTTACTGAGTTGGCTTCCATTAAAACCTTAGTATGACGATAGACATAATTGATGTTTGATTCGTCGCAAGAAAATATTTGCTCCTTACAACTTCATTCATTCTCTCTTTAGTGGGTCTTAAGTTTCACATCAAATATACATATATACATATTAAGAAGGCAGATAGCTAACGACATTCGACAGATATTTTGTGTATTACAATGTGGTAATACTGTAAGAAAATACAACGTTTAACTCTTCCTTGAAATCGTAATACATACCCACCTCAGCAATGCAGTTTATTCAACGAGGCACAAAAGTAACAATCCCCCTAGACTTAGTTACTTACGCCTGTTACCCCTTGTGGAGTAGAATAGTTCAACCACCAGTACTGTCCATCCAATCCTGTCCTGGGAAATCCTTTTCAGATCTGCTTGTAGTTCTTAACGTAATATCTTCTTCCGCCTCCCCAGTTTTTCTGCTTAACTTCCGGATTTCAAGTAATTGCCTGTCTCGTGATGCAGTTTGGTGATTTCCGTAATATATGTCCTATCCGTTTCCATCATCGTTTCCTAATTTCCCTTTCAGCTGGAAGCTGGTTTGTTCTCTCTCACAATAGGCTGTTGCTGATCCCCTTTGAAGTTGTTATTATTTCATCTGGACATTGTAATCGAACAGGCGCTAAAAACATGAAACTCATAATACTCACACTCAATAAGTATACAAGCAGGTTGTATATGAAAGTGTGGAAATTGATTCAAAGAATATTTGGTGATTCTAACTCAAGTTGACTTTATCTTTTTGGTTAACGACAACCAGCAAAACAAACATAATTGAATGCATTTAAAGGTCATTTAGATAAACCTATGTTGATGAAGTAACTTCCCATTTGATTCACCTTAACTATCAAAGTGATTAGTTTATTGAACTCATTCAAAATCAATTCTTAACTAACCACCGTTTAGTTGGATCAACATCAGATTGAATTTCAAAAGATCTGAGTTCTAAAGAATATAGATCAATTACCTTATGGTATTCAAACTAGTGTTCTACCTAACAACATAGAGTAGCCATGGATAGGCAATTAGCTGAAAATTAAGGATCTAGTCAGTTATCTATTCAAATTAACTTTCACTGAAATTCAGATAAGTTCATTTGATAGTAGTGTAAGTTGATTGCACATTACAAGTTCTGTTGTTAGAGGGACATAGATTAGATTAAAATAGTATCCTCTGCACGATTGTGTTGGTGAACACTAATTGGCTATTGCTTATTCAATCAGCACTAGTCGATACTTGGAGAACAATCTAGAATCTTCTCATTGTAAAAAACTATAAATACACTCATGTTTCTCTTATTGTACTTCTTACTTCCATCTACCCTTACTATTTGGAATATAATTTCCATGCTGATCAATCGTGTTCTGATTTGAAGACTTGTCAAGTGAATCGATGTCCAATAATACTAAGCAATCCCAATAGCTGACCTGTAATAAGAGAGAATTATAACATGGCATAGAAAAGTGGTTTCCTGTAATCTTGTGGGAACTGGTGCTCCTTGGCAGATTAGATCTTGTGTCACCCAGCTTCACAGTTAGAGACATTAACACTGAGCTACTCGAGCCACGACCGACCTCCTGTAGGACTGAGATGTAATCACAATTGATTGATCACTGGGTGGTGATCAATGTCATACGTGTCTAGTCCTTATTAGTACAGATCGAATGCTATCGATCATGTTGCAATGTGACCACCAGTCTGGATGACACGAGATCGAATACGCCAGGGAGCACCAGTTCCCTCAAGATTACAGGTACACCTTTGCTGACGAGTGCCAAGTAGCACGATACTCGGTTCCAAGGTTTTCTGTCGACTACCTCCAACCACCATCTAATCTCAATATATAGCGCCCACAGTGTCGAGTCACCTAGACTGGTGGCCACATTGCAACATGATTGATAGCATTGGATCTGTACTAAATAAGGACTTGACATGCATGACATTGATAGAACTAAAAATTCAATATTATTTTGTTCACACAAAACATTGTCTAATTTACAATTATGTGTAATTTTGACCTTGCACCACAAATACCCTGATACGGTCGACGGTGTGGGGTGTCTAACCTCTCTTTCAAAATACTCTCTCATATACACACATGAACAGTCATTGTCAGTGAAGTCCACGCCACTGCCTTCTAGCATTAGGGGTGTTATTTACGAAAATGTGAGGACGAAATGTGATTATCCTGAGCAGTAATCGGGTTGGTGAGGATGGTGGTGGTGACAGAACTAAATATACGATATTATTTTGTTCACACAAAACATTGTCTAATTTACAATTATGTGTAATTTTGACGTTGCACCACAAAAACCCTAGTACAGTCGAAAGTGGACGGTGTCTACCTTCTCTTTCAAAATGCTCTCCTATGTACACACATATACAACCACTATCAGGGAAGTTCACCTCACTGTATTCTAACAGCCGGGATATTGTTTATCAAATTGAGAGAACAGAAAGACAATATCCGACGCATTATCCGGGTTGTTGATGGCAGTGACAGAGATAAAACGTTTAATATATAATTTTTGTTAACTTTATTCTTGGTAACACAATAGTTATACAGAATAGCTGTACAGAATGACATTTACTAGTTTCCTTTTTCTTCTTCTCCTTCGTCATTCAAATGGTAGCTAATTGTTAATTATAATATAATTTTAAATATGCTAATTTTCTTTGATATCGTTTACATTCAGTCGTTGTATTAAGCTAAAAAGTAAAAAAGAAAAAAATAGTTTGTTTATGATAAGGATCACGATCATCATGATCATGATGATCGTGATCATCTACATGATCATAACTAACTTACTTTATCTGTATTCATTAATATTGTACTATTGTATTGAATTTTAGGCAAATTCACAGGATGTAACATGGTATCCATTTGCCATTGTATATGTTGATCTAATTGTTTAGTTACATTATAGGTACCAACACTTTTATTTTTGGTCAATTTCATATAACAAATAATAAGTGAACATTGTTTCCAGGTAGAAACAAACAAACAAAAAAGAAGAAAAAAAAAGAAAAACAAAAGCTTATTACACTTGAACAATATTGATTAATTCATCAATGGAGAATTCTGAATGTAGTGTAAGGTATAGAAAAAGTGCACTTGATTGCCGCAGGGGGTTGGGGTAGGAGATGAAAGGACATTAAGAACTGTTGGGTCCGCTTCCGGAGAACTTCAACGGAGCCTCCAGAGGCCCGCAAGGAGCCGAAGAGTCCTGGCCAATCAGAGTGTGATGGAACGTTCTAGAATTCCAACGTGGCGTGCTACTATTGGTCGGTAGCATAATGTGTTGTTATCGGATTGACTGTAAAATGATGTTGATTTAACAGATCCCAAAATCTATAAATACCCATGATTTTCTGTACAAAAATGAACCTTGGAATAAAGTGCTTTCTCTCATTCTTGTGTCTTCTCTCTGGAGTTCAAGTCGCTGCGGGTTACCGAAATAGCTTAGGAACCGTATATAGCGTTCAACCTACACGACTTATCAAGAACATAAGCTGAATAAGAAATATTCAGTTTGTTGTCATAGCAACAAATAACATTACTCATTAATTATGTAACTAAATTTTAACTTTTCCACCAAAAAAACATACTGTCTATGGAAGATAACGTTGATATTCAATAAATGTATAGTGGTTATGTTTCTTAACCTTAATACTGTAGTCAATAAGAAGGTACAAGTAGGGGACAATCAAATATGTTTGAAAACACAGATTACAGAATCACTTAATAAAATCTGAGAATTATACAGTAAATACTTCATCTACAAAATGTCAATCAATTGCCCCAGAAATCACTGTTCCTTCACTACCACTTCAATGACTTTCTGTTCCTGTTCTTTCCTGCTTGATCTTCTGCTGCCGTATATTCTCTTCTTGACTAGCGTTATATATACTACTTATGTTGATATAAGTAGCAAAACACAGTACTATTTTATCACATACCGACAGATTGCCTATAATCATATCTATCTGTTGTATCAAATCCAATATACTAGAGACATAAATGCTTGAGACAATCTGGATATCTAATGATAATAGGATTGTTATCATGACTGTTATTCTGTTGTTTTTGGTTATATCACTCACAATAGTGTACTGGCTAAGTGATTAATGAAGAAGTGAACAATAACTAACATGTTGAGATTAGATGGTGATTGGAGGTAGTCGACAGGAAAGCCGGGTCGAGTCACTTAGACTGGTGGCCACATTGTAACATGATCGATAGCATTCGATCGGCACTAATAAGGACTAGAGACGCATGACATTGATGTTTTAAAAACTAAATATTAGTAATTGAGTCTAAGTGTACTATAGACGACCATTCTGATGACAGATCTCATCTTAACTATTCACAGAAAACTAAGTAAATCGTTATGGAAACAGGGCAGTATAGCACTTTGTTGAATGATTTTATTCGTTGCATACAAATGGTTAAATCCAAAAATGTAAGTGTTAACTTTTGTCAACTGAATAGATTGGTCACATGGAATATGTCAGTTAGCAGAACATAGAATGCAGCATTATGTTGGAGTACAATGCCTAATCCATTAATAATCAATCAACAATGAGAATTAATTGAAGAATCTTCTCAAATAATGTTGTAAATATACTAGTGTTGCTCATATTGTGACTGTGTAATTGTACATTTTGCCCAACTATTTTCTTTAACACAATGAATCCGTTAATAGAGAAACGAATGTACACATCAATAAACGAATCGTTCCTTGATTGTTAGTGTTATGACTTTTAAATATGGTCTCAATAATAGAACGATTAGATGTTTGAGGTGGGACATGAAGGTCCTATGTTCTACCGTCCTTGAAGTCACCATATACTAGGACGAAATAGCTCCGTTAAACGGTATCACTTTATTTAGTTAATACAACTCTTCATTCATATTTGACCAACCTCGCATGTTGAAACATGCCAACTTCTATGCATACTATGAATTATTAAGTAGTATGGGTTAGCATTATATTATTCAGGTCATATCTTAGTTTCAAGTATCCATAGATCAATGAAAACCTATTCATAGAAGCAAAACAATGTTTTTTATTTACCCAACAGTTGATGCATCGATTAGTGATTTATCTATTCTATGTGTGGACTGATTAAATGGTACTTTATTTGGTTTGACCAACAAAGATTTGTTCACAAAATCTTGATAAGCTCCAGGATCTGGAAAATTTGAATTCTAGAATCAAAAACAAAATAAATAGGAAACATGTTTATAAACACTTTACCATAGATAAAAGTATAGTTATTATAAAAGCATCATTCATCATATAGCTCTTGGATGAACAAATTGAAAAACACAGCTTTTAGTCGTTTAAATGACTAAACAAGATAATCACAATGTATGTTAAAGGGTTATCATAAAAGTATTAGAAAAAGGTTTTGTCAACAGTCTTAACTTCATTTAAGAACAATATCTCAATGACTTGACAATTACTTACAATGATTGGTGGTAACCTCTGACAAAATCTGATTATCTAAAATGAAACCAAATGGCACTTCATTGTTATGTAGTACACTTTATTGTAAAGTTTGAAAGTTTTTTTCAAGAGTATTTCCGATGTTTGGGATAAATATCACTCGTTGTCATTTTGACGTAATCTCCTATTGATAATTTACTAATGAGGGTGATAATGAAAGATAGTGAAAGTGATAAACAAATAAAACAATCAGTTTTTCTGAGAATACATATTTACAAGGTTTATTGTAAATGTCATATCGAAACGATACGAATACATTTCAATATCCGTTCGGTTATTTCTTCTGATCTGATTGCGTTAAACTTTACTTTTGGATGCATTTTCTGAGTTGTTTATAATGTATTGCTTCTTCAATGACCAGTCTCATTCTAATCTTTAATAGTTCTGTTTCAAACATCAATTGAACTAAAATATCACAAAAAAGGTAGTAACCCAGCCGTTTTAAAAAACGATTAGGTTATAATATGTTTCTCTAAGTCTTTTATGACAGGATCTGTTGAATGATGTGTGTATTTTTATGCTGTTTATAATTCTATAGTGACAATCATGCCATCTACATTAATCCAGTTCCATTTTATTTCCTGTGAGTTATTACTTTGCAACTGTATGTTATTGAATTTTAATAATCAAATATGAAGTTCACTGGATCTCAGCAGCATCTATCTCACTCATAGATGCTCGGAAACTCATTCCATCTGGCTCTGAACATAATGAAGAGCGGAGTCAGCTTAAGCGCAAGCTGACAAGAAGTCTACGTAATGATCGCGAACAGTGGTGGGTAGCGAATGCAAGAGAAATGGAAAAGGCAGTGGCAATAGGTAATAGCAGACAATTGTTCAGACTTGTTAGGGAAACCGGTATTAGGAAACCGACTGTTAGCGAAACAATCTCAGAGAAAGATGGACATATTATTCATTCTCAATCCAGGAGATTGGATCGATGGGCAGAACACTTTAGGGATCAGTTCAACTGGCCTTCAGCCACACTTCGGTTTCCCACGATCTCTAGTCAACCTGAATGGCAAGTTAATGTAGGTCCTCCGTCCCTTTACGAAGTTGAAAAAAGCCATAGGAAATCTGAAACGAGGGAGAGCAGCAGGCCCTGACAGGTTTACTCCTGAGATTTTTAAGGATGGTGGTCCAGTATTAGCAATGAGATTAACCGAGGTCTTAGGTAGAATTTGGGAACTGGACATAATCCCATCTGACTGGTCTCAATCACTGATTGTGCCAGTTTTTAAGAAAGGACAAAAGTCCTCTTGTGACAATCACAGAGGAATCAGTTTGACTAATATAGTGTCTAAAATATTAGCTTCAATAATACTTCGACGCCTAATCAAAGCTCGTGAAGAGCAGATTAGAGAAAACCAGGACGGTTTTCAACCTGGATGTGGTTGTATAGATCAGATATTCACACTACGTCAGGTTCTAGAACACAGACACACATTCAGACGCCCCACAATGGTAGTATTTCTCAATCTTAAGGCGGCATTCGACTCTGTTGATCGTGAGGTTCTATGGCAGTGTTTGTCACTGAAAGGAGTACCAAAGAAGTACATTAACCTTATAAAGGCTCTCTACTCGAACACAACTGGTAGATTGAGAGCTTATGGCGAACTGTCATCAGAATTGAATACCTCAAGTGGTGTTCGTCAGGGCTGTCCACTCTCCCCATTCCTGTTCAACTTTGTGGTCGACATACTTTTAGAGATAACACCCTCCTCATCTAAATTTCCACGGGTTGAACTTCTACCAGGAGGTTCACTTGTTGACTTAGAATATGCAGATGACATAGTTTTATTTGGCGAAGACGCTGACAAAATGCAGAGTCTTCTGACCACTCTAAGCAACAATGCAAGCATGTTCGGGATGCGATTCTCTCCCTCGAAATGCAAAATGTTGCTTCAGGATTGGGTTGCATCGACACCCGAACTAGTGATAGGGAGTGAAGTAGTTGAGTGTGTCGACCGCTTCACTTATCTTGGAAGTCTCATCAGCCCTTGTGGTTTGGTGTGTGACGAAATCTCAGCACGGATACAGAAGGCTCGACTAGCTTTTGCCAACTTGCGTCATTTATGGCGTAGGCGAGATATCCGTCTATCAACCAAAGGACGTGTTTACTGCGCAGCAGTTCGTTCCGTCCTACTTTATGGCAGTGAAACATGGCCGGTAAGAGTAGAGGATATCCGTAGGTTACTAGTATTTGATCATAGGTGTCTTCGAAATATTGCTCGTATATCATGGGACCATCGAGTAAGTAACACAGTTGTTAGGAAACAGGTACTAGGTAAGGATGGCAAATCAATTGATGAAGTAGTGAAACTTCATCAGTTTAGATGGCTGGGACACGTGTTACGTATGCCCAACCACCGACTACCTCGACGTGCTATGTTCAGTGGTATAGGAGTAGGTTAGAAGTAAGCTAGGGGCGGCCAAACCAAAACATGGCACAAGTCCATGAAGTCACTGACAAGTGGACTGAGTCATGTTGGTAGGTGTAGACTACCTGGTTGGGGACCGCGAGATGATAGCAACCGATGGTTGGAGACCCTGAATGACATGGCTCAAAATCGTTTGCAATGGCGCAGGTGTATCCACTCTTTGTGTTCTCCCAAATTCTAATCTTCTGAATTCTTCATGTCCCTTTTTTCCTCTTTCCAAATTTGTTTCACTGGATTATACTCTTTAATTAACATCTCCAAACCCTAATCTTCCCGATTACTGCTTATACTCTTACTACCTCTACCACTACGGGATTTGAATCGACAAGTGCATCTCTGTGCTAATGTGGTATGGCAACTTGAAGTGATGTACGTACGTACGAAGTTCTACGTTGTTACTGACTGACTGACTGACTGGTGAGCGATAGCCCTAGAATATAGGTTTTAGGAGATATTTACTTTATTCCATCCCTTGAACAAAAGTGAGTTGGAGTTTGAACCTCCTGTCAACTTGTTCGAAGTCTGTATTCGAAACACTGAGCAAAAGAACAATACTAAGTAGCCGTAAAATATTATGTGCAGCAATTGTTTCTCCCTCTCTTGTGGGTCATTAATAGGTGCCATCGGGTTTTCAAACGTGATATGATGTGTTTCAATAAGCCAAGCAAACAGATACAAACGATTATTTTGGATTTACTAGCATCATTCAAATAAAGTAAAATATCACCAACATTTTAAGATAAAAGTCTTTCAAAGGAATAATACTTGAATAGCATTGACGTTCTTTGATAATCACCACTCTCTTGTGATAAGATCACACCATCTTTACACATTTCGAGAAAGTTGACAAGATAATTGTGGTGGTATTGCATTCCAAATTTTCTACAAATAAATTATCTCAGAGTGTGGATTTGTATCGTACCAATAAGTCAGTCTTGTCTAATTGGTTATCACATCTAGTAATGATAATGAAGTTTTGATCCAAACATTGATGGCCAATATATTTTCAGACTTACTGTCAAATTTTCGTTTCTGACATAGTACCACATCAAGGCATTCCTAATCCTCAGAGGAACCTTATTACAAAATAGCATTATAATAATAATGCTTCCAGACTAACTTTGCATGAGTCGTGTATAACTTGTTTTTCAAGTCATTGTGAGTAGAAAACCTTAGTAATATAGTAAAGCACAAAGCTAAAAGATTAAAACAATGATACTCCATTCGCAAGTATGTGTAATATTTTGTGAATTCAATACTTACACGTAAGTGATTATTCATTCTACGCGCTGTTCTAGCTCCCAATATATACCCACGAGTACTGATAATCTTCTTGTTGAACTTGTTAGCCATTGAAGTCTATAACAAACTCAATTAAAACATTCTCAACTTATTAAATTCACTTCAATGTCATAGGTTGTCGGTCCAACAAATCCATTCCCATTTATTGGTGCCAGTGTTATACCAAGACGATGATGAGGTATAGCTTCTGGATAGAGAGATCGTTCCTGACATGAGCCAAATGCATATGGCGTTTTTGTTTCCGCTAGAACTGCTACAATCGAAAAAGCGTTATACTGTAGAACGATGTACGTAAATAACTGATCGTCTTGTTAGTACTAATCCATAGTGGGTTGCTTATAACACCTGGTAAACCGCCAAGTTGACATGATTACAATCGCAATTAGTTTAATTACACACTCGTTTTATTATATTGTCATTTTGTTTGACAACTACAACACAAAAGCTTCGAAAACTCGTAAAATCAGTCCATTAGCCAGAAACTGAGTTTTAATTACTTTTCGACGAATCTGCGATCGAAACCCTCAACGAGTGGTTCTCTCACTTCACTAGATGAATGCAGCTTCTTACATAGGACTAATACGAAACAGATTGGATAAGATAATAAGATTCGGAATTAAAATCAGATGAAAGTATTCTAGCCTTCTTTTCTTAAGGAACAGCCAACAACAGTGAGTAAAAAACAATAAATCATGATGATCAAGAGTAAATTGGATAAGCAACACACAAAAACGCGATATTATCCGGGGGACATTAGGATACAACGAATGATTGGTAAGAAAAATCCTCAATCTATGTATTTATTCACCGTTCTTTCTGGGACAGATCATTTTGTGGCATCGTGATTATTTTCACTCGCTAGCATTTGATTTAGATACCAGAGGATGTATGACTCGATGTCCTGTGTTATGAAGCTCTAAATAAACATGTGTTTATTAGCTTGCTGTAGTATTTCAGGCAACTATACTCTGTCTGGTTGTTGCCTGAAGTTTGAGTGGAGTGTTTTTTCGCAAACTTTTGAAATCATACTCTTGAATTTTGCTTTCTATGTACAAGTGACTTATTATTCTTCCCCCAATCCATCGAATCTTGAGGACAATTTCGTCTGATAGAGATACCTATTTGTATTCACTACGGTCTATAGCCAGTAGGAGGAGTATTGAACAGCTTAGCGCTGATGTGAAAAGCAATATCCAGACTATCTTATGATTTCTAGTTCTAATCAGTTTTGGTTTTATGTTCATAAACGAACGTACTCAGGTACTGGTCGTATGCGTTCGACGACAATAGGGGTAATTAACTCATAGGGGCATCCAAAGCTTAAAAAAGACACGCATAGAAATGAAAAACAATCGAGTGTCCTGAAAAATTTGTTATTAACCTTTAATTTTCTCAATTGCACCTTCGTTATCAAAATAATTCATAACTTGTCCGACCTTGGAAGTCACGACGACCAATAAGCAACGTTCAATATACAATAATTTCAGACATCTGTAGTAAGTGCAATTTAGTCATGTTATTCCCCATGATATGAAATACTGCAAAGATTCAGCGTCTCCTTGAATATATCATCGACAGTGCTGATATAACGTGTTCTGACAGGGAATATTACTAATTACTACTCTACGTGAGAAATGGTGAACGGATGTAAATCAGCTTCAGATTCAGTTTGAAAAGGACAGGAGGCTTGATGGCCTGTGTTAGTCCTGGCGATGGTGGTCTCTCAGTTGATCCAACTTTCTTTTGAAAGAGTCGACGGATGGAGCCTTAACCACGTGCTGAGTTAGTGAATTCCACTTGTTGATGATTCGATGGAAAAGTCGATAGTCAGCTGACAAGCAATTTATCCTGGGCTTGTTAACTTTTTTGGAGTGTCCTCGTAAGTTCTCTGTTTTGGAAGACAAGAAAAATGAGAGCATGTCAGGTGCAAATTTATCACTAAGCAATTTGAAAACTGTGATCAAGTCGCCTCTAGTTCTACGAAGTGACAACGGGAATAGTTTTAGCTTGGCCAGTCAAGCATCATACAGGAACTGCACTATTCCGGGAATCAGCTTAGTTACTGTTCTCTGAACGGTTTCCAAAATGTTACCGTCTTTTTAAGCAGGGGCTAGCCGCCTGTATACAGTACTCAAGTTTAGGACGTACTAACACTGCACACAAAGTAAAAAACGTTTCAGCGTCGACACGAGTAAAAGCCCTACGTATTGACCATAAAGTTCTATAACCTTTGTTGGCTGTTGCACGGCAGTTTGCAGTAGTCTTGAGGTCTTGGCTCACGATGACTCGTAAGTCCTCGTGTGCCCAGACAACAAGCAGCTCAATGTTATTCAGCACTTATGTATCAGTACCTTGATGACCAACATGCATCACAATGCACTTGGAAGTACTTTTCAGCAACTGCCAGGTTTGAGACCATTAAGATAATTTCTCCAGGCCGTTTCGGGGTTCTAAGCTGTCACCCTTACTTCGTATCGCTCTCCATATCATGTGATCGTCAGTATATAGCAAGACCGACGATGATATTAGACGAGGAAGGTCATTTACATACAAGAGGAGTAACATTGGCCCCCAAACTATGCCCTGAAGCACTCCACTAAGCACAGTTTTCCAGCTGGACAATTTGGAGTTCACCTGTACTCTTTGTTGGCGCTCAACTAGGAAGTCTTTTATCCACATTGATTGATTGCCTTCCATTCCGACATTTCCTAGCTTATATGACAGCCGGTTATGAAGAACTTTGTCAAAGGTATTGCTGAAGTCACTGTAGGCTACGTCTATAGGTAACTTTGTCTCTAAGAGCGCACCGGATTTCACCAGCCACTGATAAGTTAGTAAGACAGGAATAAACTACTCTAAAACCATGCTGCTTTTCCGAAAAATCGGGTTTTCATCAAGATACTTAAACAGCCCTTTCTAAATAATCTTTTTCTAAAATTTCAACAACCACACTAGTTAGGCTAACGGGTCAACAATTCTCAAGTTTATGTTCCGTATCTGTTTTGAAGACAGGACTTACTATGGCGTTCTTCCAGTCTTTTGGTAAATGACTCTGTGTTACGGAGAGATTAAAACATGTACTTAGGCGGTTCACGACGAAATTAGCTAGTTCCTTTAGAAACCTAGGATGTTGCTCATCGTAACCTAAGGACTTCTATATGTCAAGCTTATTTGACAGACCAAAGGTATCGAGTTCCTTAATGCTCACACTGCCCAGTGTTTGTGTGTCGGGATTTGTGTGAACTGACAGGAAGGGTGTTTCCACGGTATATACATTGCTAAAAGAGTTTGAGAATACTTGGGCCTTACCATAGTCGTCCTCCACCAATGATGACGCAGTACTGTCTCTCCATAAGGTAGGAATATTTCCTCTTCTTTTGGTCCCTTGGTTTATAAAGAGATAAAAGCTTGGGAAATTCCATCGATTTCTTGACAAATTTCTCTTCGTGCAACTTAATAGGCTTTCGGAGGGTCGATGCTCAGGTATTCCGAGCTTTTCTATACTCAGATTGTCTCATCAGTCCCCAGTAACCTTATGGTATCCCACATTTTTGTTCTCTTACGGAGAGGGATGCGAACCTTTCCACTGAACCATGGCGGAGAGTTTTTCGGTCTCCCTGATGTAGTCAAAGTGATGTGGTGCAGTAACTTTTTAGTATAAATTTTTAAATAGCCAAACTGTTTCAACTGGGGACTAAGGGTCTATTTTCCAATCTACTGACGATGCTGAGTGCATGATTTCTTGCATGTTTGTTTTCCAGACGTCAGGTCTGGATTGAACTGACGTGTTCTCGTGATTGACAGTTATACGTAAGTCAAAAGCCAGAACTGCACGATCAATTTAACCTAGACGTAGCGTGTAATCAAGCTTCGCTACGACATCCTCAACGTGAGTTAACATAAGATCTGGTAAGGATGATTCAGAATCCGGGTCGTACCTAGTCGCTTCTTTCACATGTTGCACTAGAAAACTCACGATAACGGCATAAACTACTTCCTGATCGAAGGGATTCCTTTTATCGAGTATTGTACTGCACATTTACAGATTCCCACGTTGATAGAGCCCCAACTACCTATACTCTCAGTCTTCTAATATTGTGAAAACTACTTTTTCGATCCACCATTACGCCATGAATCTCAAAACGTCTCAGTTTCAATCAAGGACCGGGTGAGAGACCTTGTCGATGCTTTTCTTGGAACTATAAAAACTACACTTTTCCAAATTATTTAGAGTAGCCATCCAACACGCTGGTATATGAACAGAGCGCTCCTTACTATCTATTTCTGCACAGCCTGCTTCACTAAGTTGACTGATACTTGTGTTATTCAAGTCTCTTACCATACGACACTGCTTCAAAACATTTCAAACAGTGTTATCAGAGGTTCAGCAGTTACATCGTCTGACAATTACATAGTTCATGTGGGGCTCGAACCCATGATTCTAACTATCAAAATCACTCCAACTCACACAAATCCCCAATCGATTATTAACCATCATGTGCTCACTAATGGCTGACGTCAATGTGGATTTCCTGGTGTTCTAGTGTGAAGCCGTGACCAGTAGAACACAATATACGTCAAGTAGAGAGAAGTATCGACCTCGGACATTGGATAAATAGTTGCGCAAAACCATGGATCGATTGAAGTTAGATATTACCGCTGTTCAGTAGCGGCTTGATAGTCTAAAGTTTAAGCGTTCGTGCGCGATACCGAAGGTCATGGGTTCCAGTCCAGTATGAAGGATCGTGGATTAGCGTTGAGAGGGGGTCCCATACTAAGACGAAACAGCCATCCAATGCTTTCAGATTTTCAAAGATGATCTAGCTTACACTGACTCATGAGTTCAATTTTTAAAGTCACAACAAACTTCACGAACTTTACATTTCCTGAACAATGATCTTTCCCATAAACGTTTATCCTTATCAAACACCGCTTCAAATGCACTTCTAGTCCTAAAGTAAGTGAATCTACACCATTCAGACCCCAAAGCGTGCATACATCTGACACCCTTCGTTGAAGCGCATGGCCCACCTATCACAATTCCTTATCCAGCTCGTCTCCTTATAATCCATTTCGCTCGATCCCAGATGCTATTAATCCTCTCCATGTCTGCTTCCTTCTGATGGTATCCGGTCAACGGACACTGAGTATCTTAAGTAGCTGATTGTTCGAAAATACTTGTACGTATTTCATGATTGTTGTGATAGTTCTCCAAGTTTCAGCTCTGATTCAGGTTTTCACTTGAAATGCCCTGTCAGCTGTTCTCCATGCACGAATTGACAGTGTAGTTCGTTGTGTGAATTTCGTGTATTGTTGACCATAAACTCACGCACTCCATAGTGTCGGAGGAGCTTATGAAGATGTTATAGTTCTTCAGAGTTTGTAAATTCTAACGCGATACCTACATAAAAACCTCCTGTCAGGTGAATCATCATAGTCAACGATGCAGATGTTTAGTAACGAGTTCCATTCAGCTGATTGTTTAAACGTCATCCGTAGTCTCGCGATTTGGTTTGTTGACGACCGATCCTTAAGGAATCCGGTCTGTTCTCGAAATTGTACACCTACTGAGTTTTTGACCGGGTTCAGTAACACTGTTCCAAACGTTTCCCTGTACTCACAGTGGTGTGATTTCTCTGCAGTTCTGTCATTTGCTCAGATATTCTTCCTTTGAAATCTATGTGAATTGTCATTCTTTCCAGTGAAATCATTTGTCCATCTTTCAAATACTAATGTATACAGTGTAAACTCTGTTTGCGGTTACATCTGCGTCTGGCTGATAACTGATTTGAGTGCAACAGCTGGTATATTGTGAGATCCAACTGCTTACCCAATCTTGATTTGTCAGACATACATCCTGACTTCTTTGTGTGGTATCCAAACTACGGTTTGGATAGAAGAATAGCCAACCGGGGACCTTAGACACGCGCCCCTTCCCGTCGAAATCAAAACAAGTAATCGGGTAAATAGCGGTTCTATAATTCATCATAAATTTAAATGTAAATCGTTACCTAAACAAATATTACCACCCGGCTATTCAACCAATAATTGTTCAATCAATCAAATCTAAATTACAATAAATAAAGAAGTTGATAGAAGATGAGGGAAAATTACCAGTCACGACAAATGAACATTATTCTATCCTGACTGGATAGAACACACACAAAAGGAGGAGCGAATCAATATGGCTACCGCCAAGAACAATTGTCAAGTAAAACAACACAGATGCAGTTCAGGAAGAAACACAAACTTAGTGAATGCGTAAGAAAAACAAAAACTATAATAAAAAATACAACTGTTAACAATTCAAATGTAATCAAAGGACAACAGTATACAACTAAGAGGATCAATAGGAACAAAGTACAAGTATATACATGGAGGGATTTTCACCAACACACAAAACATTCAAAATGGATCTTACACC